CCCCAAAACCCCAAAACCCCAAAACCCCAAAACCCCGGAATATTCAGAAACGATTGAAGATTAAATTTGGGAAATTGTAACTAACTTGATGTCTGTTTTTAAGGAAATTTAGAGCCTGTTGTATTGGACACCCTGGCATTGACATACATGTGCATCGTTGTATTTTGTACCACATCTGTAGCAGAAGCCAGCACCTCAGTATCAGACCATAGCATCGCATCCTGACTCTTTTACGCACCACATTTTGCAGTCAGGGCATTTTCTCATGTTATTGTCCATAGCGTGGTCAATAGCAGCCTTATCATTGAAATCCAGCTTCCCTTTACCATATGTTGTTTGGTAGTCTTGGCAGCTCATGCCATTGTGCCACTGGCTTTCGCATTCTAAGCAGTATTCTTTTTGACAGCTAAGACATTTGAAGTAAGGGTTTATTTGGAGGTCATTTTCTTCAACTCAGACAACATATTCACAGTCAGGAGTGGGACAAGATATAAACCTTTGTGAATTCTTGTTAATAGCTAGTTTGAAAGCGAATTTATCAAATCGTTCCACATATTCTTCTGAGAGAACCTCCTTGACGATTGGAAAAGGAATCTCTTCCTTGCATTCACCAATAGGACATACCAGAGGAATTTTGTTGTTGTCGATGGATGTCTCAAGATACGTTTGCAAGCATTCTTTATGAAATAGATGAACACAGGTATCAATTCCCTGAACTGTATCCATGTTAATGTCATCGAGACAGATTTTACATTCTCCAATGACCAGTTCCTTGGCTTCTTCAGCTGCAAGTTTCTGTTCTTCTTCTTTTCGTATTGATTCTTGCTTGACTCTATCAAGCTCACTAAGTCTAGGTCTTTTATGACTCTCATAATATTGCTCATTAATTCCATTTTCGAGTTGTGAATGAGATCTTTTTCTCAAGTGTAAATTATCACTCTGATAATGTACTCCCTCCCTTATATCAAAATCCTGATGAATTTCCTCAGTCAGCTCACTTTGCCCGCTCCCAGTCTCGCCCAAGAACTCATTATAAAAGTACAAACTCTTCTGTTGAAACGTAAGGTGCATCTTACTTAGACCACTCTCTAGCATTCATCAGCTCTGTAACCATCTTCTGCACTCCATCACCTCCTTCCTCCTCACCTATCCTCCTCTTCAGCCTCACAAAATCCTTCATGAACACAACTCCTGCGTAGAAGTACTCCATGAACCCAAATTGCTTCTTGACATGTGCAAGTTTGTCCATTAGGTCAATGACCATCTCCTCTGTAGAGTCTAAAGCTGACTCCTGGTGGCTTACTTCCATATTTATTAATATAAAGATTTGGTAATTTTTAAATGGCCTTTGGAATTTATCAGAATTTGTTCAGTTCTGGGGAAGGCTTGTGGGGTTTTGGGGTTTTGGGGTTTTGGGGTTTTGGG